TCAATCCCTGTCTGTCCCAGTTCAGTCCCCAGCCAAGCACTGGTCCAGTCCCAGTTCATTTCTGCCTAGTCCCTATCAAAAGACTAATCCATCTTTGTGCTGGTCCAGTCTTGATCCACTCTTTGTCCCCAGCCTCATCTGTGGTCTGTCCCACTTCCATTCCGGTCCCCATTCCACTGCTGGTGCACTCCCAGTTGCTATCCTGATCTCAGCCTAGACCGTCTCCTGGTCTTGGTCCAGTCCTGGACCCTTCCTGACCCCAGCCTAGTCCTAGTCTCATCCCCATTGTGATGCTGGTGCAGCTCCAGTCCCCATCCCAGTGCCAGCCTTGTCCCCACCCAAGCACCAGCCCAGTCGCAGTCCCTACCCATCCCACTACGATTCCAGGCCCAGCTCAGTCAAATCTAACCCCAATCCCAGTCCTAGCACAGCTCAGCCCCCCTCCAGCCCTGATCCCAATCCCATCTAGCCCCAGCCCACGCGTGCAGGCCCCTCAGCTCTGCCTGCACCTCCCTGCAGGGGAGCACCGGGACACAGACCGGTGCTGCCGGGACCATGACCACTGCCAGCACGTCATCCACCCCTTCACCGCGCGCTACGGGTACCGCAACCTGCGCTGGCACACCATCAGCCACTGCGACTGCGACCGCAGGCTGAAGGAGTGCCTGCGGCGGGTGAACGACACGGCCTCCCGGGCGGTGGGCCAGGCCTTCTTCAACGTCATCCAGGTGCCCTGCTTCGAGTTCACCTACAAGGAGGAGTGTGTGGAGCCCTACCTCTATGTCTGGTGAGTGCCTCCCACCACCGTCCCCCCCGCCTGGCCCCACTGGAGGTCACCTCCCCTGGTGCCTCCTCTCTCTGCAGGTGCAAGGCGTACAACACGGTGGCCGTCGCGGTGCCCAGGGAGCCAGTGCTGTACGAGTTTGGTGGGGAGCTCATCGACCGGGCAGCGAGGCCCAGGGGGGTCCCTCTGAGCCCCCCTTGGAACAGCGTGGGTGGAGGAACCCTCCCTGTGGACCATCACACTGAGACAGCCCTCAAGTCAGCCAAGAAAGAGAGGAAGGGGAAGAAGAAAGACAAGAAAAAGAAAGGAAAAGGTCTGAAAAAGAAAGGCTCTTCTGAAAAGGGGGCGCAGAGCCGTCCTGCACCTGCTGCCCCCACTGATCCCTCTGCGGGCCAGGACTCCTGGGCTCTGCTGCCATCCTGGGAGGAAGCATCCAACACCATCCTGAGTGATGCGCCAGTGCAGAAGGGCTTGGGCAGGGAGCCAACACCGGCCACTCCATCCCCGGTCCCTACTGCCAGCGGGAAGGGGAGGAGGAAAGAGAGGAACAGAAAGAAGAGGCTGAAAAGCAAAGCTGAGTCCAAGCCCACACGAGAATCCTGAGCCCCCGTCGTCCCATGCGGGTCTTGGCTGTGAAATAAAGTTACATCTGCTTGAGTAGATGGTGCTGCCTCAGCCCTGTCTGTGGGAGAAAGGATGGCACTGGGGGTGGTATCCAGGGGAAATCCCAGGGCTGATCCCACGGGAGGGTAACACGCGGAGCTGAGTGGGTATTGAGGGGTTTGAGCTGTTGCTCACAGCTCCCACCATTGTCCTGGGCACTGGGGACATGAGTCCCTGCTCTGGCTGGGACACAGCTCCCAGGCCCACACTGGCACAGGGCTGAGCCCCAATTTTAGCTACCCTGCTACAAAGGGTTAAATTCCAGCTCCCCAGGCATGTTTTTCTCTGGAATTTCTCTGAATTGCACCACCCCATCTCCCTCATCCTCTTAACCTGCTGCCTTTCCAGTGCTCCCACACCAGCACTGACTTCTTTTCTGCAGCCCCCAGCAATGGCTGCTCTGGGAGGAGGAACAGGGCCTTGGCCCTCCCTGAAGGCTCCTCAAACGCCTACAAAAGCTCCTTAGCCTGGGACAATAGAAGCTTTTCCAGCCTTAGGACAAAGGCAGATGCTGCCTGGGAAGAGCTGGGGCAGGGAATGCTGCCTGTGTCTCTGCCTCGTGGATGGGGATCGTGCCTGGTCTCCTCTAGTGAGGAACTGGGCCCAAGGACCCAAGGGCATTGCCTCCACTCCTCCAAAGTGCTTGCCAAGGAGGAGCGTGGCTCAGCCCAGAGTCCTGGTGAGGCGGCAGAAAGATC